TTTTGTCAAACTTAAAACTCGAAAATTTTCCTACAGGGCACGCTTGCAGGAAGCGCTCATCAGTTGATGATCATCAAAAAAGAAAATATAGGTGTATAACAATGTTTGTGCATACATATATTTTTTAGGAAATTATCGCGACTTCTTTTGTGCGTTCAATTAAAGTCAATTGAATTTTATTTCGCAGCAGACAGTCACCGCTCGCATATACTAAATACATATGAGCATTGATGGGTGCAAGTTCCCATGGAAGAAAATAAAAGCACACACGCAATTATAATAAATCGGATAAACGCTGGCRAATGAGCGCTTTATGCGAACCTTATCAAGCTACTTGACACAAATTAACCCTTGCAGATGCACGACGGCGCAACAGCACGGTGGAATTTGCATTTAAACAAAAGTCAATGATTGACATTTAAARTTAAACTTAAGCAACTCAAAAACGGCAAAGATCGCACTTGCGGTCAATTGATTTTAAATCAATCTATAGCTAAGCATTATGAATTAATTAATATTTTTTTATTTTATTATTTATTTGTTGATGTTTTATTACTTTACTCACCTCAACCGACGATTTCAGGTACTGCGGTACCTCCCTCAGATTCATTTCGAAGCAACGGATTTTGAGCATGCGCGACGGTCTTAAATACTGACACTTGCGTTCGTCCTGCACGACACCGACATAACCGAATGGCATCATCATCTTGGTGTTGATTGTGATTAGAGCCAACAACGCTATAGCAACCGCATGCAAGTCCATACTAAACGAGAGTGAAACAACGAAAGAGTAGACCAGTAAATTAGTAAAGAGCAAATGCAGAGAACGCGCATGATTRCAAGTTCAAATGAATTAAATAAAAACAACAACAATGTAGCACCACAACCAATGCAGCGTAAAGAAGAAAGGATTTTTGGTGGAGGACAAAGACCTCAACAGCGCGCGGTTTTCACACAAATGATGCTATAATGATTCATTCTGTCGTCTGTGGAGTTCGCGCGAAATTTCATTGATTTACTGAATCTCTGAAATATATTCGYAGTCATACGATATACTCGCGCGCTCAAGTAACTCAATATCTACAAAATTAGTCTCTGCCATTTATTAATCGCAATATTTAATTGTAAGTGCGATGTTGATGCGGGTAAATCGGTCAAAGACTCTGTGAGTGTGTTCCGTTGTTGAAGCACTTAATGTCGGATAATTCATGTATAATGTACATAACTCGTGATAAACTGTAATATAAAGTGGTTCAATGTCTACTTATCTAGCGTAATACAGAAGAAGCCAGTTCAATAAAAAATATGCGAAACGGTTTTCTAAATGTTCATACATTTTAAGTATATGTTACATACAATAAACGAAGTACTATCGAACTTACTTTTTAAAAACGAATGCTCAAAAAGAACTCTTCTCTATAGTCTTACTATATCCACAGCGTCTTTGATATACATATATTTGTAAAACAATATATTCCACAAAGAAGCATCATATCATCCGATCAAAATTGACCCGGCCTGACAAAAAAAAAAAAAAACTACAATTTCACATATATTATACAAATCTCAAAACATTCTCTAGAACCAATATAAGCATACCAATGGTTATTCCGCTTTTTCATACATTTGTTATTAGTCTCGGTAGGGATGGCCTTCAACGGCTCATTTTTGGAGAGCTATTCGCCAGATGATTGGACAGATTTGACGTCATGTTTATAAAGCAACTTCCCATCACCAATAGTGAWGCGTTTGGTGAATACAGGGCTCTCRGYTACGTTGTCAACAACCACTCTTTTGCAATCTCTACTCAACATCATTTTTGCCTTCATACCCAAAACATTAACCAAAAAGTTAATTTTTTTCAACGAAACCTTGCCTCATATAAAATAGAGAAACCCACATGAACGAAGTTCACAATGTAAGACATCCTCTACGTGAATGCAAGGCTCTGTACAGATAAAAAATTGCAACTATGGGTCCAGTATCYTTGGATCAGGTTTCAGAGGATGCAAAYTGATGAGGGTATATGAGWCCTGTTGGTATCACAATGGGTTTCCTAAAKACCCTCRCTCTACCTACTTACCTATTTACCTATCTTGCATTCAAAGTGATTTCYGAAGAATGTACTCACTCTTCCCCACATATTCGAGTTTAGGGTTTCACGTTTATTAACAACTTCTCTTGGTAAATTCATTATAATGCGCTTAGTTTAATTTTAGATCTTGTACAAATAGTTAACAGTGTTAACCCCAAAAAGGTCAGCATTTGGTGATCGAGCTCGAAATGTCACCCGTCTCAGATGGATTGTAAGTGGATCGTTCTCTCAGTAAATGTAGCTGCAAAATGACATTCATAGTCTATTAAACTCCTTTGGGATTCAAACCTTAGCTTGCCGACTGTAGTCAAGACTAACTTTCAGGATTTGTTTAAAACTTGGATTGGTAATCGAGGTATTCCGCTACCGTGGAGATGATATCTCGAAATATGGCAMGCCAACTATATCGTGGCTGCCTCCGTCACGTCAAAACTCTGACGATTGGTGCGGTAGAACTTTAAATCTAAACTGATGGCACGCCCTCAAAAGAAATATAATTTTATGCCACATAAATGTGGAGTAACGTTGCACAATTTAATCAAATTATAAAATAGCAACAAAGGAACAATATTATTATGGGTCTCAAATTGATAAAACTAAACAACCAATAGGCATAACACATATAATGCAATAACTGATTGAAATACACTTGCACATAATACAAATAATTGAAATTTCTATAAACAAATACAATAAATGATTTGAATTGCCATACAAGATCATTGCCCATGCAACTCGTAACGTTTTTATTTTCAAACCTATTTACACATTTAAAGCCCAAAATTGAAAAAAGCTAAAAATTAAATAAAAGTGCATGTTTATAAACAACCGAGTGGCAAAAGGCAGCCATGSAAAGGTGTGACATTCAAACGCCGGATTTCGTCGACATTCCCACCCCATGCAGCAGGGTGTGCGACAGACAGCTGAGGTCGCCGCGCACAGGTGGGCACGGACGTGCGCAAACAATTGCAATGAAGCGTATCAAATGCGCCCCGGAAAGTTCACTTCACAAAATCACCGCGTTCACCATTAGCGACGGCGCCGCTGATCGACCATGTACGAGCGCACGCCACCCACCAAACATTGCCATCAATCACATATGTAGGTACATATGTACATATGAGAGTAYGTGTGAGCTGTGTAAACGTCAAATAACACTAACATAAACAAACAAACAAGCAAATTAGCCGTGAAATGCGCGCAAACAATGCTGATCAATTGCTCTTCCTCGTATTATGTCAGCTAAATCGCGCATAAATAAATACAAAAACAAATAAAATGAAACAAAATAAAAGGTAAACCGTTCACTTTTAATGAAAATAAACGGSATATTGTAATCAAATTAACGAAATCATTACAAATGTCAACGCGACAATCTGTCAAGTGGCACGGCAGCGGCAGCGGCAAACTGTCAACTGCCAAATGTCAAAAAACAAATAAAAAACCATGTGTTTGTTTATACATATGTACATATGTAAATATACAAAAGAGCAGATAATTGCGACAACATTCGCTTTCTGAAGCACCGCCGCTGCATTGCCAAGCTCCAACTTGCGGGAGTGGGCTCGTCAAGCAGGTGTAAGAGCGTAAAATACCAACAATAACCACACATACACATTATATAAATATGCATAAATATATATGTTTGTTGCTGTTGTTGTTTATTTGTGTTTTAGTATATGTAAGATCACTTAACGCTATTAACATAAACAATTCTCAATAATTGTATATGTTGTAAAGTAAGCATTCTACTGAAAGTGAATTGCAGGAGACGGTCCGTTGACTGAAGAAGAACAAAAAGATAATAACAATTGCGAGCTAACCCTGATCTCAAATGCACTAAATTGAATTGGATAAGCTCATCGACCGTCTAATGGGAGAATTTCGCAACGAAAAATGCAATTTAATACATACATATGTACATATACCTATCCATATTTACATATGTATGTATGTGCATATCTGTGTTCATATGGAAAGTAGGTTATGTCAAATAAAATGTGTAGATCAAGAAACTAATTTATACTAATCCACAAATCGATATATGGAAGGCCCAGGATTTGTAATATAAAATATGCAAAAAGCTTACATAATACGTACATATGTATATTTGACTTATGTATATGTATATTTTACTAACTAATTTCTTAGTTAAAATCAAAGAGAATTTTCTGTTCTTCTGTAGAAATATTTGGAAGTAATTACATTCTACTAGGTTTAAGGATAGGCTTTGGTATTTGTAGTGTTTCTAGTCTTCAAGTGAATGCAACTTCGAAGTTAAATCTGTTCGTAACAATTTGAGAGCTAAAATTTGAATTTTGCAGATTTTTTATTAGATAASACAATACAGCATCACAGGTTATCTGGTTTCTAGAGCCGTTCGATACCAAACAAGGTTTCAGACAAGGCGACTACCTATTATGCAACTTCTTCAATTTACTGCTGGAGAAAATATTTCGAAGGCACAATCTTCTACAAGAGTGTACAACTGCAGGCTTACGCCGATGACATCGATATCATAAGTCATAACAACCATATTGGTGCTTTCTCCAGGTKGAACAAAGAAGCGAAACAAATGGGTMACAGTTGATAGTCATAACTTCGAGGTCTAGGCTAGGTCATGTCGTCGGAATGGATGGGGTGGAATGGGCTCCAGCTCTGAGAGGTATAAAGGGTCATATACATTAGCCTTCAAAAAATCGATATTATTTTTTTTCGTCAATGCCGTATGCCGTTTTCTATACTTTTAAGAAAACAACATTTTTTATCCCAATTTTTAAATTCAAATATAAAAAAAAATAAAATAAAAAAAATTATTAATCCAAGAAAAATCTAGTTTTTCTAATGCAAATTTTTTTTATTAAAAAATCCAATATTAAAGAAACAATAAAATTGTTTTAAGCTTACTTTGTTAGGTGCATGTGCACCTAATTATAATTATTACAATTAGTCAAAAAAGTCGTATATCACCAGTAAAAAAGTGAGATTTTAAGTTTCATTTAATCAAAAAAAAGTCGGGGAAGTTGAAAAAAAGTTACAGCTGTTCAAAAATTAGTGAAAATAATGMAGAAAGAATGCCACACAAGCCATGTTCTATCAGTTAAAATTCCTTCGTTCTGGAAATTTCCTTGTGAAAGATGCACTTCGCTCTGAAAAGATTGACCAGGACCGTCACATMAGCAGCCATGATAGCGCTAAGGAGCTTAACATTTGTCATCAAACGGTTTTGATCCATTTAAAAAATGCTGGCTACAAAAAGAAGCTGCATGTTTGGGTACCACATGAGCGAATGGTAACAGGAGACGAAAAGTGGATCAAATACAACAATAATGTGCAAAAAAGATTATGGTCCAAGCGTGGCGAAGCTCAACAATTGGTCGCAAAGCTAGTATTGACGTCTCGAAAGGTTATTCTGAGTGTTTGATGGGATTGAAAAGGAATCATCCACTATGAGCTGCTCCAGCCTAGTCGAMCGATTGATTCTATATTTTACTGTCAAAAACTGATGAAATTGAAGCAAGAACTCGAAACAAAACGGCTAGAACTGATCAACAGGAAGGATCCATTAGGACAAAGCTAGATCACACATACATCTTTGATGACTCGGCAAAAACTGGGAGAGCTTGGTCGGGAATCCACCATTTGTACATATATCCCTAATTTTGCACCATTAGATTACTATTTGTTTCGGTCAATGCAGAACTCCCTTAATGGAGTAAAGTTGGCTTCAAGAGAAGACTGTGAAAATTACTTCTCGCAGTTTTTCGACGAAAAACCAGAAAAGTTTTACACTGATGGAATAATGTCTCTGGCGGAAAAATGGCAAAAAGTGGTCGACCAAAATGGTACACATTTGGTTCGTTAAAGTTCTTTATAAATATAAAAAAATAATCTGAAGTTTGAATAGGAATACGAATTTTTCGACTACCATTAATCACATGCGAAATCGATTCTGTTGAAACTTTGAAATAATTCGCTAAAATTTAACTGTTAAAATTAACAAAGAAAAACTGCTACGTATTGTTAATAGTTATACTTTACTTTCGTTCCTCCTTCCTCCTTCCTCCTTCCTCCTTCCTTCTTTATTATTTATTATTTTTAAGTACGCGGTCACACATTCACCCTCATATCTTATCAATTAACGCTTTTGTGGAGACAACTTTTATCACTGACACATTTATTAAACAAGTAGCACTGTTTACMTTTTAACAAAATGAAGCGTTTCAATTAAAAAGAAAAGCACATATGTATGTAAGTATATACACCAGCACTGCACTAAATTTAGCTCAGGAACCTCCATATGGAGTTGTAAATCGCCCGCTGACTACTCGTATGACTGTAAAATTCTGGCAGCACTACCAACCGCTCGAGCGAAAGGAATTTGAGCGCATCGCGCAAAAAGCACACCAATAACTGTAACCGTAAATTAWGGAATAATTGGTTGACATTTAGGTGAGAAAGCGAATTGCAACAAATACCGTTTTCGATGAGTTGACAGAAAATATCATTCACTGCACTTATTTGTAGCTAACTTGTTGCGAATGTTTTGCTCTTGGCTTTTAATTTCATATTTCACAAGCGCTTGACTAGATACTGCATTGTTGAAAATGCATGTCAAAAATTATGCTGACCAACACTGTGAGCTCGAATGTCTGTCCGCGCAGTAATTTCGCTTTGTTTCTCATTAAATGATGATGCTGAAAGAAGCCGCAAAACAAAAATAAAAACCCCGGGGAAATTAACGATAAATGCAGTGAGCAAATAACTCTGATATATAAGTATATATGTATGTATATATATATATATATATATATATAAGCATATATTTGATCTGACCTGAAATGCAAAATCTGTCTCTTATACACATCTAGATGTGTATAAGAGACAGGGTTTTCGGAGTGTTCAGACCAGTGCTTTTTTAGGAATTCAGCAGCCTAATTTTTTGCACACGCAAAGTTTAACAATAACTAAGAAAAAATGACAACATCTGCAGGACCTAGATGCTCTGATTTCAGCAGACTGTTACTTTTGTGATAATACACCTTTTGAATAATTAATTGTTTAATAACTAATAATTAAACATTATCCAACTTTTTTAGCTTCAAATATTTTAACTTTTTCTAGTACTTATGTATATACTTGTATTAATAACAAAAKAAAATGAAATATGAAAWACTTGCAAATGTTTTTATTTAAAATTAAAAAAAGGGTTAATTWTCAAATTTTTAAATTTTATGCAAGTTTAGATTGATCATACGTTATTTTTTTTCAGAAATGAAAATTCAAAATAACGTAAGACACCTACCATAAAATTTGCTTAATTTTTTTTTTATTGTTTTTCTAAATTATACTTATAGTTTCGCGTTAATTAAGATTTGTGCTTCAATATCTCAAGTGGTTTTCTTTTTATACGGGTTTTTGCTTCTCCGCTAAACCTACGAAAAGWRWTGTTACGTTATTTTGCATTTCAGGTGACGATATGAACATATGTGTATTAATGTATATTTGAAGCTCTCGTGTGACGTTTATTGCAATAGAACAACAATACAACTAACTTCACTTCGCATGCAACCATTTTAATTTCCAAATAAAAGGCGATAATGCCCAGTGGGCGGTTTTAGTGCGAAAGAAATTATTAGACAAACAAATTAACGGGTTTAACTATTTTAATAGTAATTTGTTGCATGCAATTTGGATTTAATATTTTTTTATATTTTAGTACTTCGTCTGATGCTACGCTTAGACGTTTATTACTCATTCTCACTACATGTATGTATGCCTAAACTTCCGCATAAAAGCAAAAATTGCTATATAACATATTATATGATAAATATTCACATAAAAACAAGTAAGAAAGTTAAGAATGTGAAGAACATTTGATTTTCAATTAATTTATATTAGAGTACATATTTTGTAATTTTATAAATGAGTCACATTAACAGCACGATGAATAAGACCCGCTGAGTAGTTTTCTTCTTAGKTCCTTAGGTATTCTGCAGCAGTACTCTCAAGAACTCACACCAATTTGATGAAGAGATCACTGAAGGTCTTTCCAGAAGAGATACCTGTCGTAAATACAGATGATCTTATCGATCTTGATCATATTCGAATAGTTATGTCCCTTCACATTGTTAATTGTGGAATAATAGTAGCCCAAAATAATARGTGTAACGAACTAGTTCTTTTTATCGAATATTTTCTAATATGTATCACAGGTGAGTAACAGTATAAAATTTTCAAAGATATTAAATTCGGTTGGAATGTATTTTAAACCGCTTGCTTGGAACTGCTAATAACTTCGGAGCGAACTTCTTCTTATTTATTTAACGGCTTACGCGATTATAACTGAAGTTACAACTGCGAAGGCGGTTTTCTTGTTTTCATTTCATTGGGGGTGTTTTTACGTGGAGGACCCCAAACCCAGTGCACAACCATTATGTTAGCTATATACTATATCCGATTTGAAAATGGTATTTGGAGAGTATAGCGTTACAAAATCTATGCCTAATAAAAAATTTTCCACACARAAACTCTATTTTGATCGATCAGTTTGAGTGACAGCCAATCGTATAGAGGTCAGAAAATGTCATGTACAAAATTTATTATCKAAATCTCAAAAACTTAGGGACTAGTACTTTCTTTGATCTTTTATAGAGAAAAGCGAATTAAATACTTTTTACACCCGGATACAATAGTTGTTTCATCAACCTTTTATATATTCAGCCATTGCATCATTGTTTGTTAAGGTGTTACATTTGTGTAAGGGTTTCCAAAAATCGATTTTATTAAATTTTACAATACATCTAAAATACTTTCCCAAATTTTCAAGTTGATCGGAGTAATATTTTCGGAGATATAGCCTTGAGAACTTGTGCGCTGGCGGTTAGCTGATTAAGTGTCCCGTCTTTAAACGTGTTTTTGCTCGAAACTGTGTTTTTGAAGTCGGTAAAGACTTGGACGAATGATTTTTTTTCGATTACAACTATTGAAAAAAAATGTCACGAAATTGCCAAAAATCCACATTTCAGTTTTTTCCTTCTTCCAAGTTCTAAGTTAAGGTTTTAACTGAAACACAAATTTTGTTCACTCTAGATGATCATGTATGGAGTTATCCAGCAAACGCGGGCGCATCATTTTTTATTTTGCTCACTGGAAATGGCGTCCCAATGTCCAAGCTTGAAATATTCTTTTAAAAAAAATTTCAGAATTTCTTTGTTAATAGTGTATAGTATGTTTGTAACAATAAAAAATTCGAATAAAATAGTTTGTTTTTTATAAGAGAAAACAGTTATTGCAAAAGGCAATTTTTTAACCGAGGAACCCACTTAAACTAACCTCAAACTCTTGACATTGAAATTAAAAAATATGAATGCATATATATTCATTGATAAAACTTTGTGCGCAAACACAAGACTTCTTATCGAAGTCGCTTTTAGAAATATGTAACAATACATATAATGCCCAAGTCGCTGTTTGCTGTGGCTCTACTTGTCCACTATTGGGTCTGTTGCTATAGACGTTTAAATTTAAAAAAATGAAATACTTTGAAAAAATGCGATTAATTGCACTTTTTTCTAAAAGGATGTGGTTTGATTAAAATATAAAAAAATTGTGGAAGCAAAAATCACTCGTTTTCAAAAGGCATAATTTGCCGCGCCAGCTTGATAAAAGCATTTTTATCACTTTCATTATATGTATACCCAAGYGTGAGTATATACAGTTCTGTATATAAATACTACATATGTATGTATATAATTATATGTATGTCTGTATTTTTAACATTTTGAGCGACCAACAGCCACACACGTTTTTATTCATTTTCAAGATTTACTTTTAAAAATAAATGGCAACCCTGTTAAGATGTCTTTGTAGTGGCAGGTGCCTATGAAATTGATTCATTGCATAAAAACGCTGKCAGATAATTTATTAATGAACAATAAACTAAGAATGTAGGCATTTGTAGTACAACAAGATAAATTCTGGCTGTTGATAAGATTCACCCGCACTAGGGTGACTAACKTTAACGATAGCTAATTAATGGGAATTTCTATGCAAAAGAAGAATGTGTGTGGCTGAGCGGAAGTTCGTAGACTATGATTAGCTAAAAACATTTGTTGGCAGAAAAATTTCATAGTTCTATTGTATAATATTCTAAGTAACGAAAATTCTCATATAATGACCAACAGACATACCAAAAGAGGCCTAAAAATCCTAATTATTAAATATTAAATAACTCTTTAAATGATCTGCCATATTAAATTCCAAATTATTAAATATTACATAACTCTTTAAATGATCTGCCATATTAAATTCCAACTCTTGCTAATTGCTGATTACTAATGTAATCTCGTTACTTCCCAAACACTCTACATGACTTATCTTACATGTGAAATTGTCTTTGTTGACCGATGAAATTTTCAAAATGCACTAACAAATTGACCTCATTTCCCCAAAGGGGAACCGAAACCATAGCGCCCATTAATATGCTTGTATATCTGTATAAATATATATTGTGGCCACGTTGGGCAGCATTTTCTTTGTGCTAATTTTAATTTCAGTTTCCTAGCCCTTCACACCACGTTAACCTGCTCCACGTACATTCATTTCTCATGCAAATATAAATTTTAACTCAAGGCGTGATGCGTTTTGTTCAAATCTGTGGCACCCTTTGGGCCTGACCGGTGATCAAATGCAGTCACAAGCTAATGAAATGAAGAAAAAAACATAAAACAAGATGAGAATCATATGAACATCAGAATAGTGTAGAAACGACAGAGCAGATGTGAAATTGTACAAAATTATGATTTTCTAAAAATAAATCCATAATAATAAACATCGTAAAAGAGGGCCAGTGGTGGTGGGCTGTGATAATAGCGAAAATTTCAAAAATCATTTTCGCCGATATTTTTCAAAAGTTTTTTTCCGTTATTTTAAGTGTTTAATGCCTTTTGTGATTTACGCTTTGGCTGTCGTAAATAAGAAAAAATATATATTGAACACATGTGGTTTTGTCAGAGTTTCATTAGCACGCAGTTTTATTATTTATTTAATTTAATATGGAGGTATTGCAATTTCTCCAAGCTCTTTGTACAATTATGCAGTACTATGTTTTGATATCACTTTGAAATCTTGGAAAATCTTTGGAGAAGCTTCTAGTGATAACATATGTTCGGCTTTTATCTACATTTTATCATAATTGGAAATTTGTGATCTAGGGTATCTAGCAAATTGATTCGCAACGTCAAGTATTGAATAGCATATCAGTATGACACACTTTTTTCCTTTRACTCCAATTTCGTAAGGTCAGCAGACTATGAAGGTTCCAGCCTAGTTGTACTTACATATATAGAGTGATTTCTTTTTTTCCAATAGAGCCTCTTGAAAGGTGATTCCAACAGAAAAATCCCTTGTCCAAATATCGAATGACCTAATATAATTTCAGATGATTTCAGATCATGACAAAAATTAAACCGAGCCAATGAGAGATTAAGTCATTCAAAGTTAACACCGCGAGGGTATTTGTTTAAGAAAWGCTTACATGGACATTCTAAGTAAAAAACAAATAACAATAAAAAAAACAAAACGTTAACTTTGGCTGCATAGAAGCTTTATTACCCTTCATAGGTGTATTTTTAGCTTCATTCTTATTGATCAGCTTTTACTGCAGCTACGTATATA